GTATTCTTTGAGCCTCGAATACAATTCACTGGACAGCTTGTTTATCATACGCAGGAGCTCAGGACCTGTACAATCATGAAGTGTCTCGAGTCCTTTGAAGATATCGGAAGCAAAAATGAACTTAGAAGATACCCTGATGATAGTCCAGTGTTATTTCTATCATCCGCAATACAAATATACCATCACGCGATCGATATCCCAGATTGAAATGTCCAGTTGCAATCCCGTATATCTTGATCAAGCAGATTTGGGTGATGATGCTCTTAGTAGTCCATCATCAGAATATTACGCGGCTGGAAAAGTACGGGACAACAGCACGAATAACGAGGTGCGTATATCTTTGACATCGTATACTTCTGTTTATAGAGGTACAGCCTAGATGAAGGGATATCCCCATTCGAATTCAAATTCATTACTACCATGACTAAGTTGGATGGCATTTAAATTGAAAACATTCAATAGAAGGCGTAGATGAGTTTTTAGAGTGAATGCAAAATGCATACGGTGCAACCTTCAAAAATTTACTATCAAATTCTGGCGAGGCAGTGCAGTTTGCCACGGATCTATATGAAAACATATCATTCGTAGATTGTTCAGGTCTAGTAGAGCTGGACGAATAACTTACTCATACCTGCTTCTTTCACAACTTTTATTATGCATTCGATTTCAATGCAGAAGCTGGAAAGCACCATAGGCAAAGACAATAACAGCGCCATGACTAATTCGCACAATACATCGGAGACGAAAGCAGAACGCAAGAACCAACGCAAGTCACTTTTGGCCTCCTTGAAATACTCATGGATATTGGCAGGAGTGGTATATCCTATACTGTTAGGCCTGTGTCTAACATTCTATTATCTGATGTATGACCAGCTGGCTTCGATGGCAGAATTTCAGCTGGCAGCCATCGCTGATCCCCAGGGGAAGAAAGACAAGGTCTTTGCATATGCATGTTTCGTATTCACTGGCACGCTGTTGTTTGGCCTTGTGCTTATACTATTCTTCTACATTTTCTGGGACGAGCCTGAAGTTCGGTCCCGGCATCACGGCTTTATCAGTCATTTCTGTGGATCGGTTGTTTATACGTGCGTACTTGGCCCGATAAGCGCAGCCATATTTTTGGAACAGAGCTCCATCAAGGCAGTAGACATCACTGTGTCTGGGGGAATCCCGATTATCACTAAATCGCAGGTTTACAGTAGCCTAGTTGTCTGGTCGACGGTACTGTATTACTTCGGATTTGGAATGATCTTCTCTGCGGTTATCAATCGCATGCGATTCATGTATCTGATATTCCACAAGCGACAAAGCCAACCTGAATATTGGACGGGTGTAGTGCAACACGTATTGTTCTTCAGCGCAACCGTGACACCGTCCACGCTTGTGTGTTACTATGCAGATGTAGAGTGTACAGACGCACAAAGTGCTTCGGGCCCGATAGTTTTTGGTGCAACACTCGCTATCGAATACTCTTTCTACCTCTTCCACACTAGATACGCCCATATGTACTTTGTGGATTGGTATGGCAATTTACGCTGCTTTATCATCTGCGAGTTTGGCTTTTGGAGTCCAGTCGTCTACGGTCTGATAACCGGAGATGCATGGCGGGTTGCTTCTGCAACTTGGCTGGTTGGCTGCTTCATGGCCTGGTTGTTTGGCATTGATAATTTCCTTTTTATAATTGTGAAAGTACTCGCCCGAGCGCTCTGCCGAGACGACATACTGGAGAATATCGATTTACAGGGCGCCTACTTCAGAGCGCATGAAAATGCGAAGGAACTCCTGGCTCTGCTGAGTTTGGAGAAAACTGTATGTACAATGTATAATACTGTACACCCCAAAAACTGTATGTGTGTTTCATTTAACATCATATGTCGAGTCTAATTATATATTATATATCTATGCTCCGCTCTGCAGCAAGCGGAAATATCCTTTTCATACAGTAAGCTCGTCTTTAACCTGCCCCATTTTACTATTGCAATTACAGAGAGAGATGTTCCTACGGTACGCAGAAGGACGCCACTGCGAGGAACAAGTAGAATTCCTAATCGATGTTCAGGCGTGCTCACTTGCGAAGGATAGTGAGAACCAAACCATAGAGGAGAAAGTGGTACTCATCGCCAATAGATATGTACGACCGGACAGCGAGAAGGAGATTAATTTGCCACAGGTGGTGCGCGATAAACTCCTACGTAAAATCGAGGAGAAGGATTACCTGGACGTAGCGACGCTTTTCGAAGAAGCATTTCACGAAATAGCCACGATGATTAGCCGCAATCTGATATTGAACTTTGTAAAAAGTCCCGAATATTTGGAGTATGCAGAGAAGGCAACGGAAAACCAGAGAATTCAAAAAGTTCTGGAAGACAAAGGCATGATGGCCTCTCGTGGTCCTGATCACAGAGTAGAGCTTACCGAAAGGGGAATCAGGCGAGGGTCGTCATTCAGCCATGTGCGATCAATGAGCATTGTCTGATGTATAAACTAACTGTACATATGTGATGTACAACTAGATCACATCACAACCACAACTCCATAAACATTATGCCGACATAACATTGTGCCGACATTGTAAATACTCCTTTAGCATCTGGCAGATGTACTTTGCTTAAAATAAATAATATGCAAACATATTTCTACAAAACAAAAAGTACTTTTAAAATGTCTGCTGTAAAAATATTAGGTCTCTATGCTGTATTCGCAATAAATATATACATATATATATATATACATACATACATACATATATATATATACATACATACATACATACATACATACATACATACATACATATATACATACAAAAATACATATTTATATATATAGATATATATATATATATATATATGTATATATACATACATAAATACATACTTACATACGTAGATACATTCATAGATACATAGATACATAGATACCTACATACATACATACATATATATATATATATATATAATTTTACATGTATTGATATATGTATATATTTATAAATAGTTATATAAATATCAATACAATTACAAATGCAAATAGACGCACATACATACATACATACGTACATACATATATACAG